CATTTGGGGAGTGAACCAGCAGATGGAAGACCTTTCTCTCTGCCCCCCCCCCCCCCCCGTAACTCTCTCTCTCAAATAAATAAATAAAATCTTTAAAAAAATGAATAAGAGAAAAGGACATTTAGCCCAGTGGTTAAGATACCCATGTTCCACGTTAGAGTGCCTGGGTTCAATTCCTGGCTCTGGTTCCCAAGTCCAGCATCTTTCCAATGCCTTCATTGGGAGGCAGCAATGATGGCCCAAATAATCTGGCTCTTGTCTCACACAAGACTTGGTTGACTTGGACTGTGTTCCTAGCTGCCAGCTTCCGCCCTGTCCCCAGCCCAGTTCTGGATGCCACAGATATTTTTAGCATGAACCTGCAGATGGGAGCAGTCTCTGCCTTTCCCTCTGCCTCTCAAATACCTTTTTTAAAAAAGTAGTTAAGTATTTTTCAATTTTATTTCTAGGCACTTAAAGCTGTCCTAGTCTAAAATTCCACAGATGAGCATAATACCTTGTAGCTTTTATTAAAGAAGAAAACCATTGGGAACATTGGAGTCTAAAAGTAATATTATTCATTAACTAGTGTTAATCTTCCTCTTATCTACTTGAAATTCCTGGTTTTTTTTTCTTTTTCTTCTGAAGTGTTACATCACCTTCATTCCTTACCATTTAATGTCAGATAAACATATCAGCATGTTTTTGAGTAACATAATTGACCAATGGAATTACTAAAATGATGTAGAAAGTGGGCTGGGGTTCAGATAGGCATCGATGATTGAATCTGAGATAGAGGAAAACCCTGAAGTGAAATCCTTATGGCTTTCATGTGGCACTCCATAACTTGGCCACAGGAAAGCAAACCATGAAAAGCCCACAGCAGAAGCAGAGGACTTGGGACACTCCACTGAAACTTTAAATGTGTTGACACCCTCTGTATAAATGAGCAGGTGAATACACTCTACTGTGTATCAAGATCTGCTCCCATGTGAAAACACCACATCCAAAGAGAAAAAGCTAAAGAAACTTCCCAGATATGGCCAGGTCTAGATATGCAAAATATATACATAAAATGTTTGAATAGCCTTAGAACATTACATCCACTTTATACATACGCACACCACAATTGGGCCTGAGAAAACTTCCTCATAATTAAAATTCCTAGTTGTGAAACAGGTATTTTTAAACTGGAGCTTTGATGGAGAGTAATGCAGTGTGCCTAGTTTTCCTACTATTCTTCTCCGGTGCTCATGTTTGCCTCCTGATTATGCTGAAGGGCATTCTTAAACTCCTAACTTTTGTGCCGTGAACATCAGAAACAACCTCTCTTAAACTGCGCTGAATAATACCAAGGAGTCACACCCTTTGTTTCACTTGCTAAGCTTTCTTAATAAAGGCAGCAAAAAAACTTTCAGAGGTGGAATTTTATACTAGCAAATGTTGACAGAGACCTAATAAATACTGTGAAGCAACTTGTGTGCTACTCCTAGCATTCCACCAACATTGACTAGGTGTGGCTTTTATTCATTGTTCAGTATGAATAGAATCTGTTCTGTAGCTGTCATCCCATTTAGGTTGGCATTCCCTTTACCTAACAGCTTTACAATACGCAAGTCATATTCAATTGTGCAAAGATAGATAAACTCTTCTGGTATCCTAGGAACAGTCAAAGTATGCTTTATGGAGACCTGAAGTTCAAGTCATTGATACAAATATGTAACCATATGAGACACTTCCCAAAGTTCATGGAAAATGGCATTAAAAGAGAACATGCATTTTTTCCATGAACTTTCTGAAGGCCCTGCATACAAATAAAAGGACTGGAAATTTTTTTAACAAAAGCTGGACTATTTTAGGAACAAGCATGGTGGTAGGGTGATTAAAAGGGATAGAGAGATGTGCAAGAGAGAGTGTGTACCAGAAAAATTATGTAAAATTATATAGAATTTCTGTAATAATGTCAGAATTCATACTAATGAAATTTCCAAATCAGACTGGTAAGTGTCACTCAAAATGTTTCACTCTAGCTCAATTACTACACATCTACAAAGCAGCTTCCTAAACCACAGAAGAGCACATGAGCCATCTCAGGGTTAGTTTTTTGTATAGATAATAACTGTAGAAATTAACCCTTTATCATTTTGTCACATCACAAAAGCTGTCATTAAATAATCTGTAAGTAGAAAAACAACTTTCAATTGTTCTCTGGGGTCTTCTAAGGAATCCCTTGTATCTTGTGAAATGCTATAAAATAAACTGTACTCCTGTGAGTGCTATCAGTCATCTTTTGCAATCTGAAATTATACTCAATGAAGAAAAAAAGGAAATGCATTCTATTATAGAAAGTATGCAGAATCAAATTAGCACAAGAAGCTACAAACTTTCTCATTGGATTCTAAAAAAGCCACGCCCTGTTCTCATGAAGGGTTGAGACTTAGAATGGGAAAACGCCAGGAGAGACTGAACAGAAGGTGCAGAGTTGACTTCTCTTTACTTTACCCTGGATTTGCTCCCTGATTCCCTGCAACAGGGCATTTGGCTGGTGCCCTAACACTGTCCCTTAACTTTGACATGTTCCATTCCTACAAGATGTGTTGGGATAAGGTATTTGATAATCAAATCTGGTTCCTATTCGTTGTTCAGTTTGAAATGGGGACCTCCCAAGACAGTGTAAAAGTAGTAGTGGTGAGTTAAAAGCTCCTTTGCTATAGTAACCTCTGACCAACATCTCCCATCCTCCCAATGCCAGCCTCTGGCACCTACTCTTCTGCTCCGCTGTTAGGAGGCCAACTCTTTGAATGGTTCCACATAAAAATCAGACAATGCAGTATTTATCTTTTCCTGGCTTATTTCACGTAGTATAATGCCTCCAGCTTCATCTATGTCATCTCATCTCATGATACACACGGATATCCCAACATCCTGTTGGATACCTTAGGCATATGGGGATACTTCAGGAAGTTCATGGAAAAATGGGATTCAAAGATGTTCATTTTGCTGTAAACGTTTTGAAATCCCTGAATAGTTTTCTCCTTACTACATTTTCCATGAACTTTTAGAAGACATCTCATATACAATGTTACTTATCGATTATACCTCTAGAAAGCTGGAAAGGCAAAAGCCCTTTTGTTCCCCCATCTACTCACCGCTTCTGGACTCAAAAAATATGTTCCCCTCTCTGTGGTTTTGTTTCATACTGTTCTCAGTAGCCAGAAGGCTTTCTCTTCCCTTTTCCCTTAGACACAGGCGGGAAGGTAAGATACCTGGGTGGACCAAAGTCCAGAAGAAGAGTTTGAACGAGGAGTTTAGCCTTGTGAATGAAGTCTTACTAAGGGTCAAGAAGAGGCTCTGAAGAGCTCAATGGTGACCTCCTGGGAATTAATTCACCAATTTAATTAATAAGTACTGAGTTTCAAGGCTAATATTTTTAACAAACTAATAGTACGAGATATGAAAGCTATTTTCCTTAAATCTGTCTGGACATTCTAGAGAAGGAATATTATGGTGCAAAGCTTCAGCAATTCATCAATGCCTTCCCAACTGATTTTCTGTGCTCTAAAGATATACTAATTAAAGGGTACCATATCAGCACAGATCATCTTGGATTCTGAGAACAGATTATTCTGGTCTTATATGTGCATTGCATCTAAATACTATATATATATATATAATATATAATCTTGAAGCTTTATTATATATATATATATAAAATCTTGAAGCTTTCAGTGTGCTTATCGCAGTCACTTACAGAATGAGAAACACTACAAAGGTAAGATAATCCTTTCAAATTTATTTTGTTACTGGTTTAAAGGAAGCGAGCCAGATGGAATTAGAGTGAGAAACTATTGAGCTAACTTAGAGATGTGAAGAATCATAGCAGAAAAAGGACCATTTGCATTTCCCTTGAGAGGTGTAGAACCAAAACACAATGTTATATTTTAAGATGTCAGGATAAGATGGATTCTAATAGGACAACATGAACAGTTATAGTTTTATTATTTTTACAGGACCTATTTAAACTTACTGTCCCACAAAAATACTAGACACTTGTCTAGAATGATGCCATATTCTTAGTTTCTGCAAAAGAAAACTGTATGTAGATTAAAGTAAAACCATCATCAAATACCAGGCCAGTATAGTTAATAATAATGTGCAAATGTCAGTTTCTTTTTTTTAAATCAAAACTTCCATGGTAATATCAGGCTTTAGTGGGGGGAAACTGGGTGAGTGGTAATAGACAAAGTCTCGGTACTACCTTTGCAACTTTTTAATACATTTCTAAAATTATTTCAAAATAAGAAGTTTATTAAAAAGCAACAAAGTTCTATCAAAGAACAGAGAATTTTATTTGAATCAATTTCTTAGAATTTAAAGATTTCCATGTCATAATAATCAAATTTGCTAATCTTAAAATTCACCTTCTTCTTCATTGATGTTGCTGTATAAACTGAACTCATGCACAAATGCAACCAAATTTCCAGTGCAACACACCTGATTGCTCCCCTCAAATGCACAGCTCTATAGTGCTAATTAGCATACTAGCTTGCACCCTGAATCCTGTAAGGAACTTTTCCAATACCTTTGAAAGTTATTCCAATATAAATATGTGTTCTTAAACACACACACACACACACACACACACACAGTGGCAGTTTTCAAAGACACAGGTTTGGGATGGGTGTTTGGTGTAGTTGTTAAGATGCAGGAGGACCTGGGTTTGATACCCAGTTCTTCTCGGATTCCAGCTTTCTGGTAATGCAGACTATTGGAGGCAGCAGTGATGACTTCACGAATTGGGTCTCCATCATGCACACAGGAGTTGTGGATAGAGTGTCTGGCTCCTGGCTTTGGCCTGGCACAGCCTTGGCTGTTGCAGGCATTTGAGGAGTAAACCAGAGGCAGTGCACACTCACTGGTTCTGGCTCTCTCTCTCTCTCTCTCTCTCTCTCTCTCCCCCTTTCAAACAATTTTGTAAAAGGCAATTGCTGGCAGCTTTCAAAGACACAGCTGTGACTCACCAGTGATGGCATCTGGGCGTTCTGGAGCATAAGCTGCATCTGCTGGGCGAACATGGCTGCGGCAGTCTTCTGTTGAATCAGATTGTTACGTCCATTAATCTCCAGCTGCGTTTTTAGGTGTGGAGGGGGGTGCAGGTACTTGCAGTTCTCTCGAGTACACCGACCCTGATAATGGAGAATCAGACAGATTTTCCTTTAGTATTTCTAAAAATCTGATATGGTTAAAGCATTAATAAATGTTTACTTATTAAGCTCTTAGCATGTGCCAGGAAAAGTAGTAAGCGTTTTATGTGAATTAACTCGTTTACTCTTCACACTAATCCTGTAAAATTGATACTTATAATTTTCATCTTCAAGCTGAGGAAGCAGACCAAAAAAAAGGCTGTTACTGGTCCATGGATGCACAGCTACAAAGTTACGAAACCAAAGCTAAAATCCAGTTGCTCTGATTCAAACTCATTCTTTTAGCCAGTCTGCTCTGTTCTACTTTGATATGCATCAACTTATATTTAAAATATAAAACACTATGAATAGTATATCATCATATAATTATACATTTAAATAAAAATTCCAACATGGGTTGTAAAATGCATGTTCAAATTAAGCAAGATTCAGGATTCATCTACAAAGAATCAAGAAAATTATTTAAGAATTGCACATGCAGAAGTACATAAATTTTGGACTCTAGTACTTGGGACAGTCTAGGCTCCAAAGCTCTTTTTCCCCAAATCCATTCAATGTGAGAAACATCCTGAAATCCAATGACATTCGGTTAATCAAAGAATAAATTGTTATAGCTGCCAGTCATGCTGTTCATTATGTTCTGAAGGCAATGCCCTAGATCACTTTGACAACTGAGGCAATATTGTACTTGGGAGTCTCAATGATTTGGTTTTATTGAGAATTTAAACACTTGCACGACAGGATATGTCAGGCCTGTGGAGCTGAACATGCCTTTCGTGTCACCTAACTACTGGCACCACTGTCTACTATGGTGTTTATTAATGTGACAGCAAAGGATGTCATTGTTCTAGTTGTTTACTACATTGGCACAATGTGGCCTGTTACTGTGTTTTACTCATGAACACTATACAAAAGAGCTAATGAGTCTCTCATTTGGATCATCAGGTCCATCACAAGACTTTAAGATAAGTGCAAGTGACAAGTGATTTTTTTTTTCCACGGATGCTAAGACTCTTAACAGCACATTAGGCTATGGGGGAAGAAGAGGGAGAGATTAAAAAGGAAACTTCTATTTTCTTTTCTTTTTTTTTCTTTCTTTCCTTCCTTTCTTCCTTTCTTTTTTCTTTTTTTTCTTTCCTTCCTTCCTTCCTTCCTTCCTCTCTCTCTTCCTTCCTCCCTCCCTCCCTCTCCCTCCCTTCCTTCTTCCCTCCCTCCCTCCCTCTCCCTCCCTCCCTTCTTCCCACTCCCTTTTCCCTCCCTCCCTCCTTCCCTCTATTCTTTCTGTCTGTCTTTCAACCCAAAAGTGTAAGTTGCTAGGCCTCCTGAATTCCCAGGAGAAAAAAAGTCAGTTCACCAAGTGTTTCCATTCAACACATTATATGTATATCCTTTATTTATAATGTTTAAGTGAGTTATGCAATCACTTCTCCATATTTAGTTATTTTACTATTAAAGCAGCCCTGTGATTTTACTGAAATTCAAGGTGTGTCTTTCAAAACTTTTAAAAAGCATATAATGCAAAGTCAGATAAATTGCTACTGCTGTTTTTTGGTGTTTTCATCAGTCTTCAAAATATTTTTAAGTTATTAATAGACACATAGTACTTGTACATATTTATGGAGCAGAGTGTGACATTTCAATTCATTTTTATAATGTACAATGATCAGATTAGGGTCATCGGTATGGCCCTAATGTCTGAAACATGTATTTCTTTGCGATGGGAATAATTAAAATCCTCTCTAGTAGCTACTTCAAAATATACAATTAACTATTGTCAACCAGTTATCCTACTGTGCTACAGAACATTAGAACTTATTCCTCTTATCCAGCTCTACCTCATACCCACAAACCGTTAGTTCACTGAGACCAGGCGGCTCTATTGTTTTGCTTCCCTTGTCAAGATGCTGAGTATCAAACTGTGTGAGAATTTAAGATGTGTTACTGTTTTTTGTCGACTTGATCCTTTTACTTCTCCCATTAATTAATTAAATTGATATAAATGATTTAGGAAATCCAGTAACATCTTAATAGTCTCAGTGTACCTTTATAAGTTTTCTCAAATGCCAGAAAAGAAATTTATTGGTAGTAAGAGCCGAGAATGATATTAACCTAATCCTCCTGAATTCCTAAGTAGTCCAAGAGTAATTGCATAATTTCAGCACCTTTACGCACTGTAAGGAAAATGTCCTACATGCTAAAAATCCCAGTAATGGAGGTCTTACTTATCCCCATCAATGTACCTCAAGAGAAACCATGAGCTGTTTTTTACTCCTGCCATATGAACTGCACCAAGGCAAAGAGAGTCAGAAGGAATTTCCTACTGGGATTGGACACCCTCCACCCACATAACTGAGGTTATCTGGGTCAGAATGAACAGCCTGGAGGAGGCAGTGGCACTCTGTGACTTCTCAGTCAAGCATGCTACTTTGGGGTTTCTCTTCCTCCTCCCACACCCTAACATTAAAGATTTCCCCAAGGCTCAGTCCTAAATCTTCTGCTCTCTAATCTCTTTTCCCTGGAGAAACGATGTTGTTCCAAAGTCCCATCTATCCCTGCAATTGTTCTGATCTTTAATCTCTATCTCTACCTCTGACCTCTCTTCTGCATTTCAGTCCTTTTTATTACCAACTGCAGCTGCATTTGGATATCCTGCCCCTAATCAGGTCTAAATAACTGCACTCCTGACCTTCCTTCTCCTTTGACTATTTTTCATCTTGCTGCATACTCAGATATTACCCAATCTCCATATGCTTTGGGGCAGTCACAGAACCATGTGAGAAAAGAAATTAGGCAGCTGCTGAGCAAGATTGCTTTGGATTGCTCTTTCTCACAGTTAGCATACACAACCATAGATTTCAATGTATAACCACGCTAGCAAAGAACCAAAAATACAATGAGGACTCCCTTTCATAGTCAGGGACTCCAAGCAACTGACCAGTTAAAAGAAGGAAAAAGTGGAATTTTACCATTTGCTAGAATTTAGGACTTTAATATCACTTGTACTGAATGCAATGAGAGACGGAACGGGGTGGGGGTAGAGGGTATTTGACACGCCTTCTGTGGATATACAGATAAAGAATTAAACCTGCTTTTGTGCTTTTATGCCATTGCCCTTCACCTATGGTAACTTTCCTTAAGCTTTTTCTTGGGAAACTGATGACATTTTTACAAAGCAAAAAAAAATAGTACACAGAAATAGGGGAAAAAAGGCAATTACACTTTAAAAATTACATCAAGTAGGGCTATAAAACTAAAGTATGGAATATGAAGTAGCATGGGATTTAAAGAAACTTATTCATCTTAGTTATGAGATTTTCCTTGATTTATAAAGCATTCTTTTTTGAATGACAGAATCCATAATTTAATTCTATAACAATGCAAATGTGCAGTGATGCCACCTTACCAGAGACTGCTGCTTATGGTAAAGAAAGCTTATAAAAATATGCATTTTCAATCCAAACAATAGATGGGAAGACCAAGTAATTTAATATCTCTGTTATCTGTGGAATACAATGTTTCAGAAGAAAACCAAGCTCTTCATATTTTTTCAAAATGACTTTAGAACTCAGGATAATGTATTTACATGCACAACTCTTGGTGATAATAATTCTCCTCTGTAGAGCACTCATTCCTCAAGAAGCTGAAACTTAATTATAGGCCAGAGTACGTTAATTGGCATTCGGAGGGGACCAAACTTTGTTTTTGACATTTGGTAACACTTCTAATCCTTGTAGGGGATTACAGTTTTGGTAAATCGTGCACGGACCTGACAAAGTCGGGGTGGGGGAGGGATTGTTCCAGCAGAATAGGTAATCACCTGGGATTCCTGTCCTTTTGAAAACCAGTGACTGTGGACTACAAAGGTTCCAATGGGTTCCTAGGCCAGCTAAGCGCTCTTGAGAGGGTCACAGGATACCCCGTTATGCTCAGTCTATAACAATCTGACACTATCTTGGTTCTGAAAAAAATCGCTCCCGAAACTGGCAGGTACAGAGTTGCCATGTACTAGTTGAAATGACTCTTATGTTGTACCTGTGACAGTCACCATTCTCTGGCAGACCAGGCTATATCCTAAAAACAGCAGTTAGGGCAAGTCAAGACATGCAAATCAATCTCTCTCTCTTTCTCTCTCTCTCTCTCTCTCCTACACACAATTAAACATCGAAGAGATTAGAGTACAAACTCATTCCTGCTCACTTACATTTCCCCTGTTTTACATTTCTTTTTGGCCTTCATTTTGTCATTCTCATCTGGTCTTTCACTGAGTCACTGAGTTAAGAAAATAGCAAAGTGATTCAATAGGAAAGTGATTCTCTGCTGAAAGAAGTGCTCCTACACCTAGGAATCTTCCAGCTCCCCTTTGCATCTACTGTCTCTGAAAATGCAGCCAAAAAGCAGCAGGAGGAGAAAATGGCCAATGACATTTCTGAACTACATCTGCATCAAAAAGTTGATGACAAAGGAAAACGTCGCAGAGCCTTTACAAAACCTCCCAAATTCAATCTACTGCCTTTTTCCTACCTTCAGGCTTTTCATAAATGAGTACAAAGCCTTTGACTCAGAGAGAAAAGTAGCATTGTAGAGATTCAAATCCCACCTAAGTTTTGGGAGTTATGAGAGCTGAAGTCTGTCAGATGCAAGACTTCCCATGCACGTGGTGGTAAGAAACCCCTGTGAAATGTACTTTCTGATGTTCCTGAAAGCTCTAGCATCCATCAAAATAAGAAAAGGACCCTAGGAAGCTGGAAATTACCCTTTGTCAGTCACAGTAGCTTAAAAACAGATGTTTGCACAATGACTTGCCTCTTCAAATACATTTGGAGTTATATGGAAAAAGTAACCCATATACCCTCTCTCATATAACTACATTACCTTTTCAAAGACATAATCCCACTGATCTGCCAGACCACAGAGTTGAAAGTTCAATATTAAATAAAGGCATGGAACAGATACTTGTTCTACGAAGAAAAGCACTGTTATTC